CAGAAGATTGAAAAAAATAGTCTTAAAGATCCCAATCTACTGTTAAAATTTTAGCTTCTTTCTTTCCCCTTTAAAGGATTTATCCAAGAGTAGATTACACTTCCTTTAAGCAGCATGTGGACATTGCATTTCAAGGCATCTAAATGTAAATATTAATTACCGGGCTTGAAAAAAATTTGAAATGTTTCTGGGCTGCAGGGCACTTTTTTCCTAATTCTTTGAAGAGAGTTTGGCCTGTGATATTCTGATTTGTTGATTTAGGGGAGACCCATAAACTTGGAAAATATTGCCCCTTATGGAATCATTTGCCGTATGTTTAGGGCTCTTAAAGACTGAGCATAAGACTTTTTTCAAAGTTCACACAAAATAATAATCCTAAACATTTATTCAGATTCCTATATATGAAAATCTCTAGTGAGGATGGGCTAGAGCAGGAGAGAAATTACTGTGTTGGTCTCTGCCTTTAGCAAGCTTATAATACAAAGGTGAGAGATTACATGAGGCATACACACGTGATCAACTTAATGTGTAAATGAATTAGTCCAGAGAGAGCAGACATTAAAGTGTGAGGGCTTCTCTATCCACCTAAAGTTTTGCTTGTTGAGGCCGGCCTCAATGTGCTGGACACATCTGGCTTCCATTCAGCTTATAGCCGATACAGATCTGAGGCACCATTTTTATATGTAAATCAATAGTTAGCAACTATGAACACAGTGTTTGTGTCTGTTTGTGTGTGCATTTTGCCGTTGCATGTTTTATTGTTTCCTTCATGAATGATCTGTTCCTTTTTAGACGTAAGCTGTGGTGAGAATCTCTTTATGTCAAGCGCCATCACTTCCTGGTCATCTGCCATCCAAAATTGGGATGATGAGAAATATGACTTGATCTTTGCTGTAGGGCCAAAGACTCCCAATGCAGTGGTTGGACATTATACTCAGGTAAAGGGAAGAAGCAAAACGCCCTCTGCCCTAAGTGCCCTAAAAAAAAAAAAAAAAAAGAAGGAAGAAAGAAAATCTCCAAATTTTGACTGGTTTCAATTTCAATGATGCATTTGGGGAAAGACTTCAAGTGTACATAGAGTAGCCTAGTATTGGTGGGTATTTCAGCTGTGTGCTGTCATTTTTCAATAGCCTAGAGCAGCAGTTCCCAACCTTTTTGGCACCAAGGACTGGTTTCTTGGAAGACAATTTTTCCACAGACAGAGAGGGTGGGGTGGGATGTGAGGGCAGAGCTCAAGCAGTGATGCCAGCGATGGGGAGCGGAGAGGCTGTAAATACAGATGAAGCTTCCCTAGCTTGCCCACTTCTCACCTCCTGCTGCTCGGCCCCCTGTTCCTAAGTTTTATGGAAGATAATTTTTCCGCCAATGGGGGAGAGGCAGAGCTCAGGCAGTGATGTGCGCCCAGTTCCTAACAGGACAAAGACCAGTACAGGCCTGCGGGGACTGGGCACCACTGCGGGGGTTGGAGACCACAAGATCCTAGAGGATCTTGGTAAGAAAATATACTCTATTTTTCTAACAGCCTAAATAGATAAAGTAGAAA